CTCACCCACGTACAGAGACAGGTACTCACGTACCCAACCAGGTACTCACCCACGTACCCAGACAGGTACTCACCTACCCAGCCAGGCACTCACCCACGTACCCAGCCAGGTACTCACCCACGTACCCAGACAGGTACTCACCCACGTACACAGACAGGTACTCACGTACCCAGCCAGGTACTCACCCACGTACCCAGCCAGGTAATCACCCACCTACCCAGCCAGGTACTCACCCACGTACCCAGCCAGTTACTCACCCACCTACCCAGCCAGGTACTCACCCACGTACCCAGCCAGGTACTCACCCACGTACCCAGACAGGTACTCACCCACGTACACAGACAGGTACTCACGTACTCAGCCAGGTACTCACCCACGTACCCAGCCAGGTAATCACCCACCTACCCAGCCAGGTACTCAACCACGTACCCAGCCAGTTACTCACCCATGTACCCAGCCAGGTACTCTCTCACGTACCCAGACAGGTACTCACCTACCAAGCCAGGTACTCACCCACGTACCCAGACAGGTACTCACGTACCCAGCCAGGTACTCACCCACCTACCCAGCCAGGTACTCACCCACGTACCCAGCCAGGTACTCACCCACGTACCCAGCCAGATACTCACCCACCTACCCAGCCAGGTACTCAACCACCTACCCAGCCAGGTACTCACCCATGTACCCAGCCAGGTACTCACCCACGTACCCAACCAGGTACTCACCCACGTACACAGACAGGTACCCACGTACCCAACCAGGTACTCACCCACGTACCCCGACAAGTACTCACCTACTCAGCCAGGTACTCACCCACCTACCCAGCCAGGTGCTCACGCACCTACCCAGCCAGGTGCTCTCCCACCTACCCAGCCAGGAACTCACCCACGTACCCAGCCAGGTCCTCACATACATACCCAGCGAGTTATTCACCCACGTACCCAGCCACGTATTCACCCATCTACCCAACCAGGTACTCACCCACCTACCCAGCCAGGTACTCACCCACCTACCCAGCCAGGTACTCAACCACCTACCCAGCCAGGTACTCATCCACGTACCCAGCCAGGTACTCACCCACATACCCAGCCAGGTACTCACCCACGTACACAGCCAGGTACTCACCCACGTACCCAGACAGGTATTCACCTACCCAGCCAGGTACTCACCCACGTACCCAGCCAGTTATTTACCCACGTACCCAGACAGGTACTCACCCACGTACACAGACAGGTACTCACGTACCCAGCCAGGTACTCACCCACATACCCAGCCATTTACTCACCCACGTACCCAGCCAGGTAATCACCCACCTACCCAGCCAGGTACTCACCGACGTACCCAGCCAGTTACTCACCCACCTACCCAGCCAGGTACTCACCCACGTACCCAGCCAGGTACTCACGTACCCAGGCAGTTACTCATCCATGTACCCAGCCAGGTACTCACCCACGTACCCAGACAGGTACTCAACCACCTACTCAGCCAGGTACTCACCCACGTACCCAGCCAGGTACTCACCCACGTACCCAGCCAGGTACTCACTCACGTACCCAGGCAGTTACGCACCCATGTACCCAGCCAGGTACTCACCCACGTACCCAGACAGGTATTCACCTACCAAGCCAGGTACTCACCCACGTACCCAGACAGGTACTCACCTACCCAGCCAGGTACTCACTCACCTAGCCAGCCAGGTCCTCACCCACGTACCCAGACAGGTACTCACCTACCCAGACAGGTACTCACCCACCTACCCAGCCAGGTACTCACCCACGTACCCAGCCAGGTACTCACCCACGTACCTAGCCAGGTACTCACCCACCTACCCAGCCAGGTACTCACCCACCTACCCAGCCAGGTATTCACCCATGTACCCAGCCAGGTACTCACCCACCTACCTAGCCAGGTCCTCACCCACGTACCCAGCCAGGTACTCACCCGCCTACTCAGCCAGGTCCTCACCCGACTACTCAGTCAGGTCCTCACCCACCTACCCAGCCAGGTACTCACCCACCTACCCAGCCAGGTACTCATCCATCTACCCAGCCAGGTACTCAACCACCTACCCAGCCAGGTACTCACCCATGTACCCAGCCAGGTACTCACCCACGTACCCATCCAGGTACTCACCCACGTACCCAGCCAGGTACTCACCCACGTACCCAGCCAGTTACTCACCCACGTACCCAGCCAGTTACTCACCCACGTACCCAGCCAGGTACTCACCCACGTACAGAGACAGGTACTCACGTACCCAAACAGGTACTCACCCACGTACCCAGACAGGTACTCACCTACCCAGCCAGGCACTCACCCACGTACCCAGCCAGGTACTCACCCACGTACCCAGACAGGTACTCACCCACGTACACAGACAGGTACTCACATACCCAGCCAGGTACTCACCCACGTACCCAGCCAGGTAATCACACACCTACCCAGCCAGGTACTCACCCACGTACCCAGCCAGTTACTCACCCACCTACCCAGCCAGGTACTCACCCACGTACCCAGCCAGGTACTCACTCACGTACCCAGCCAGTTACTCACCCATGTACCCAGCCAGGTACTCTCTCACGTACCCAGACAGGTACTCACCTACCAAGCCAGGTACTCACCCACGTACCCAGACAGGTACTCACGTACCCAGCCAGGTACTCACCCACCTACCCAGCCAGGTCCTCACCCACGTACCCAGACAGGTACTCACCTACCCAGACAGGTACTCACCCACCTACCCAGCCAAGTACTCACCCACGTACCCAGCCAGGTACTCACCCACGTACCCAGCCAGATACTCACCCACCTACCCAGCCAGGTACTCAACCACCTACCCAGCCAGGTACTCACCCACGTACCCAACCAGGTACTCACCCACGTACACAGACAGGTACCCACGTACCCAACCAGGTACTCACCCACGTACACAGACAGGTACCCACGTACCCAACCAGGTACTCACCCACGTACCCCGACAAGTACTCACCTACTCAGCCAGATACTCACCCACCTACCCAGCCAGGTGCTCACCCACCTACCCAGCCAGGTGCTCTCCCACCTACCCAGCCAGGAACTCACCCACGTACCCAGCCAGGTCCTCACATACATACCCAGCGAGTTATTCACCCACGTACCCAGCCAGGTATTCACCCACCTACCCAACCAGGTACTCACCCACCTACCCAGCCAGGTACTCACCCACCTACCCAGCCAGGTACTCAACCACCTACCCAGCCAGGTACTCATCCACGTACCCAGACAGGTATTCACCTACCCAGCCAGGTACTCACCCACGTACCCAGCCAGGTATTCACCCACGTACCCAGCCAGGTAATCACCCACCTACCCAGCCAGGTACTCACCGACGTACCCAGCCAGTTACTCACCCACCTACCCAGCCAGGTACTCACCCACGTACCCAGCCAGGTACTCACGTACCCAGGCAGTTACTCATCCATGTACCCAGCCAGGTACTCAACCACCTACCCAGCCAGGTACTCACCCATGTACCCAGCCAGGTACTCACCCACCTACCCAGCCAGGTACTCACCCACGTACCCAGCCAGGTACTCATCCACGTACCCAGCCAGGTACTCACCCATGTACCCAGCCAGTTACTCACCCACGTACCAAGCCCAGATCCTCACTCACGTACCCAGCCAGTTACTCACCCACGTACCCAGCCCAGATCCTCACCCACCTACCCAGCCAGGTACTCACCCACCTACCCAGCCAGGTGCTCACCCACCTACCCAGCCAGGTGCTCTCCCACCTACCCAGCCAGGAACTCACCCACGTACCCAGCCAGGTCCTCACATACATACCCAGCGAGTTATTCACCCACGTACCCAGCCAGGTATTCACCCACCTACCCAACCAGGTACTCACCCACCTACCCAGCCAGGTACTCACCCACCTACCCAGCCAGGTACTCACCCACCTACCCAGCCACGTACTCACCCACGTACCCAGCCCAGATCCTCACCCACATACCCAGCCAGGTACTCACCCACCTACCCAGCCAGGTACTCACCCACGTACCCAGCCAGGTACTCACCCACCTACCCAGCCAGGTACTCACCCACGTACCCAGCCAGGTACTCACCCACGTACGCAGCCCAGGTACTCACCCACGTACTCACCCACATACCCAGCCAGGTCCTCACCCCTGTACACAGCCAGGTCCTCACCCACGTACCCAGCCAGGTACTCACCCACGTACCCAGCCCGGGCACTCACCCATGTACCCAGCCCAGGTCCTCACCCACGTACCCAGCCAGGTACTCACCCACGTACCCTGCCAGGTACTCACCCACGTACCCATCCAGGTCCTCACCCACGTACCAAGCCCAGAACCTCTCCCACGTATCCAGCCAGGTACTCACCTAGGTACCCATCCAGGTCCTCACCCACGTACCAAGCCCAGAACCTCACCCACGTTTCCAGCCAGGTCCTCACCCACGTACCCAGCCAGGTACTCACCCACGTACCCAGTCAGGTCCTCACCCACGTTCCCAGCCAGGTCCTCACCCACGTACCCAGCCAGGTACTCACCCACGTACCCAGCCAGGTCCTCACCCACGTTCCCAGCCAGGTCCTCACCCACGTACCCAGCCAGTTACTCACCCACGTACCCAGCCAGGTACTCACCCACGTACCCAGCCCAGGCACTTACCCACGTACCCAGCCAGGTCCTCACCCACGTACCCAGCCAGGTACTCACCCACGTACCCAGCCCAGGTCCTCATCCACGTTCCCAGCCCAAGTACTCACCCACGTACCCAGCCAGGTCCTCACCCACGTACCCAACCAGGTCCTCACCCACGTACCCAGCCAGGTCCTCACCCACGTACCCAGCCAGGTCCTCACCCACGTACCCAGCCAGGTACTCACCCACGTACCCAGCCCAGGTACTCACCCACGTACCCAGCCAGGTACTCACCCACGTACCCAGCCCAGGTCGACAGTAAACGTCACCCCCCCCCCTCCCCGCCCAGGAGCCGAATTCTTTCTTCGTGATGACCAACTTCGTACTCACTCCCAACCAGACGCAGGGCACCTGCCCCCAGGTGAGTTGGTGAGTGAGTTGGTGAGTTGGTGAGTGAGTTGGTGAGTGAGTTGTTGAGTGAGTTGGTGAGTTGGTGAGTGTGTGGGTGAGTTGGTGAGTGAGTGGGAAACAATGAAAAGCCACTACGGGTGGCCACGTGGAATGTTCGAACGCTCCCTGCGGAGGAGAGGCTGCCACTCCTCTGTCGGGAGCTGGACCGGTACCGCCTGGATCTATGCGGCATTCAGGAGGTCCGGTGGACCGGCTCTGGCTCCTGCCACCATGAGGGGTGGACAGTCCTCTACTCGGGGCAGCAGACTGCCAAACAACAGGGTGTGGCTCTTCTTTTGAACAAAAGAATGAAGGGGGCGTGGGAGCGTGGCGGTGAGGTGTGGGAAGCTGTAAGCCCCAGGCTACTTTGGGCTCGCCTTCCCATCAACCGGAGGCGAGGAATGGTGGTCGTGGTTACTTATGCCCCCACCGAAGATGAACATCCGTGGAGGGATGCAGGCAAAGCCGATGAGTCAGATGCCTTCTATGACCTCCTGTCACAGGTGCTGGCTAAAGTGGCCCCTCGGGATAGAGTCATCATGTTGGGTGACTTCAATGCCCGAGTTGGTCATGATACTGGCACCTGGTCTGGAGTGATTGGAGGGCATGGGCCAGATCAGCTCAATAACAACGGTAGGAGGCTGCTAGATTTTTGTGCAGCCCATGGGCTTGTAATTACCAACACGCTGTTCCGGCATCGGCGCATCCACACAACATCATGGATGCATGCCGGGTCCAAGCAAGAACATCTGCTGGACTATATAGTGACGGACCAGCGGAATGCGAGCCCATGTCCTTGACACCAGGACCAACCGTGGAGCTGATCTGCCCTCTGACCATCGACTAGTCATCTGTAAGATGCGCCTGCCATTCTTCCACTCCGGTGGTGGGTGTACACCCAGGACCCCATTCCGACCTAAAGTGGCCTGGTCTCAGTTATCTGATGAAAGTTGCAAGCGAGAATTTCATCATCGCTTGCGGCTGGGATTGGCATCATCCCCGACTCCTCCTGATGTCGAGGGTAAATGGGCGAGGTTTAGGACTGTGACTCATGCAGCTGCAATGGCTGCTTTGGGTACGCGGTCCAGACCTCCCCAGGGACCCTGGCTGACAGAGGAGGTGTTCAGGATGGTTGAGAAAAAGCGACAGGCCCACTGCCATCGGCTACAGAATCCCACGTAACGCTGTGTGGAAGCTACCTGGTCTGTCGCTCCGAACTAAGCTTCAGGTCTTCTCGGCCACCGGTCATTCCCTCCCTTCTCTACGCTTGCGAAACGTGGACCCCCCTAATGGAACATCTTCGCTGGTTAGAAACATTTAGGCTGGCCTGCCTACGATCCATCCTGGGTTTAACCAGACTGGATTGTGTGAGGAGCTCACAAATCCTTGAAAGATCTGGGCAAGGTCCCATCGGTGAGCTCCTCCGGCGGGCAAGGCTGCGATGGCTGGGTCATGTAGCCCGCATGCCCAGCCACCGCATGCCGAAACAGCTTTTGTTCGCCGGATTGAGGGGGCAAAGTGGGCGCGGCACGGGCTAGAGAAGAGATGGAGTGATGTGGTACAGGAGGACGTGGAGCTGAGTGGACTTGCCGATGACTGGTACCAGCGGTGTCAAGATCGGCCTTTGTGGAGGAGGCTCGTGAAGGATGCTACTGGGCAGTTGGAGGTAGTCGCCCTCCAACAACAATGGAGGGCGGAGGAGCGACGCTCACAACAACGAGTGGAGCGCCGGGTGGCTAAAGCAGAGCAGATTGGCACAGTAGGGGGCACAGGTGGTGCATCAGCCAGTCATCTCAGTCAGTCGACCCGTGGCACCTGGGTCTGTCCCGTGACCTCCTGCCAGCGGGCGTTCGACACTTCACGTGGCCTCAGGGTGCACATAGCCTGGCACAAGCGTCGTGGTGACGTCACCGCCACTTAGTGGCGAATGGCGGTTGTTGTTGTTGTTGAGTGAGTTGGTGAGTGAGTTGTTGAGTGAGTTGGTGAGTTGGTGAGTGAGTTGGTGAGTGTGTGAGTTGGTGAGTGAGTTGGTGAGTGAGTGAGTGAGTTGGTGAGTGAGTTGTTGAGTGAGTGGGTGAGTTGGTGAGTTGGTGAGTGAGTTGGTGAGTTGGTGAGTGAGTTGGTGAGTGAGTTGTTGAGTGAGTGGGTGAGTTGGTGAGTGTGTGGGTGGGTGAGTTGGTAAGTGCGTGGGTGGGTGAGTTGGTAAGTGCGTGGGTGAGTGAATGAGTTGGTGAGTGGGTGGGTGAGTGAGTTGTTGAGTGAGTGGGTGAGTTGGTGACTGTGTGGGTGAGTGAATGAGTTGGTGAGTGTGTGGGTGAGTGAGTTGGTGAGTAAGCTAGTGAGTGGGTGAATTGGTGAGTGTGTGGGTGAGTTGGTGAGTGTGTAGGTGAATGAGTGAGTTGGTGAGTAAGTTGGTGAGTGAGTTGGTGAGTGAGTTGGTGAGTGAGAGGGTGAGTTGGTGAGTGTGTGGGTGGGTGAGTTGGTAAGTGCGTGGGTGAGTGAATGAGTTGGTGAGTATGTGGGTGAGTGAGTTGGTGAGTAAGTTGGTGAGTAACTGTTGAGTGAGTGGGTGTTTGGGTTGGTGAGTGGGTGAGTTGGTGAGCGCATTGTTGAGTGAGTTGGCGAGTGAGTAGGTGAGTGAGTTGGTGAGTGAGTTGGTGAGTGAGTTGGTGAGTTGGTGAGTAGGTGAGTGAATTGATGAGTGAGTAGGTGAGTGAGTTGGTGAGTGAGTAGGTGAGTGAGTAGGTGAGTGAGTTGGTGAGTGAGTTGGTGAGTGAGTAGGTGAGTGACTTGTGAGTGAGTAGGTGAGTGAGTGGGTGAGTGAGTTGGTGAGTGAGTTGGTGAGTGTGTAGGTGAGTGAGCTGGTGAGTGAGTAGGTGAGTGAGTAGGTGAGTTAGTTGGTGAGTGAGTTGGTTAGTGAGTTGGTGAGTGAGTTGGTGAGTGAGTTGGTGAGTGAGTAGGTGAGTGAGTAGGTGAGTGAGTTGGTGAGTGAGTTGGTTAGTGAGTTGGTGAGTGAGTTGGTGAGTGAGTAGGTGAGTGAGTTGGTTAGTGAGTTGGTGAGTGAGTTGGTGAGTGAGTAGGTGAGTGAGTTGGTGAGTGAGTTGGCGAGTGAGTTGGCGAGTGAGTAGGTGGGTGAGTTGGTGAGTGAGTTGGTGAGTGAGTTGGTGAGTGAGTAGGTGAGTGAATTGGTGAGTGAGTAGGTGAGTGAGTTGGTAAGTGGGTAGGTGAATGAGTAAGTGAGTGAGTTGGTGAGTGAGTTGGTGAGTGACTTGTGAGTGAGTAGGTGAGTGAGTGGGTGAGTGAGTTGGTGAGTGAGTTGGTGAGTAAGTAGGTGAGTGAGTTGGTGAATGAGTTGGTGAGTGAGTTGGTGAGTGAGTAGGTGAGTGAGTTGGTGAGTGAGTAGGTGATTGAGTTAGTGAGTGAGTAGGTGAGTGAGTAGGTGAGTGAGTAGGTGAGTTAGTTGGTGAGTGAGTTGGTGAGTTGGTGAGTGAGTAGGTGAGTGAATTGGTGAGTGAGTAGGTGAGTGAGTTGGTGAGTGAGTTGGTGAGTGACTTGTGAGTGAGTAGGTGAGTGAGTGGGTGAGTGAGTTGGTGAGTGAGTTGGTGAGTAAGTAGGTGAGTGAGTTGGTGAGTGAGTAGGTGAGTGAGTTGGTGAGTGAGTAGGTGATTGAGTTAGTGAGTGAGTAGGTGAGTGAGTTGATGAGTGAGTAGGTGAGTGAGTAGGTGAGTTAGTTGGTGAGTGAGTTGGTTAGTGAGTTGGTGAGTGAGTTGGTGAGTGAGTAGGTGAGTGAGTTGGTGAGTGAGTAGGTGAGTGAGTAGGTGAGTGAGTTGGTGAGTGAGTTGGTTAGTGAGTTGGTGAGTGAGTTGGTGAGTGAGTAGGTGAGTGAGTTGGTTAGTGAGTTGGTGAGTGAGTTGGTGAGTGAGTAGGTGAGTGAGTTGGTGAGTGAGTTGGCGAGTGAGTTGGCGAGTGAGTAGGTGGGTGAGTTGGTGAGTGAGTTGGTGAGTGAGTTGGTGAGTGAGTAGGTGAGTGAATTGGTGAGTGAGTAGGTGAGTGAGTTGGTGAGTGGGTAGGTGAATGAGTAAGTGAGTGAGTTGGTGAGTGAGTTGGTGAGTGACTTGTGAGTGAGTAGGTGAGTGAGTGGGTGAGTGAGTTGGTGAGTGAGTTGGTGAGTAAGTAGGTGAGTGAGTTGGTGAATGAGTTGGTGAGTGAGTTGGTGAGTGAGTAGGTGAGTGAGTTGGTGAGTGAGTAGGTGATTGAGTTAGTGAGTGAGTAGGTGAGTGAGTAGGTGAGTGAGTAGGTGAGTTAGTTGGTGAGTGAGTTGGTGAGTTGGTGAGTGAGTAGGTGAGTGAATTGGTGAGTGAGTAGGTGAGTGAGTTGGTGAGTGAGTTGGTGAGTGACTTGTGAGTGAGTAGGTGAGTGAGTGGGTGAGTGAGTTGGTGAGTGAGTTGGTGAGTAAGTAGGTGAGTGAGTTGGTGAGTGAGTAGGTGAGTGAGTTGGTGAGTGAGTAGGTGATTGAGTTAGTGAGTGAGTAGGTGCGTGAGTTGATGAGTGAGTAGGTGAGTGAGTAGGTGAGTTAGTTGGTGAGTGAGTTGGTTAGTGAGTTGGTGAGTGAGTAGGTGAGCGAGTTGGTGAGTTGGTGAGTGAGTAGGTGAATGAATTGGTGAGTGAGTAGGTGAGTGAGTTGGTGAGAGAGTAGGTGAGTGAGTACGTGAGTCAGTAGGTGAGTGAGTTGGTGAGTGAGTTGGTGAGTGACTTGGTGAGTGAGTTGGTGAGTTGGTGAGTAAGTAGGTGAGTTGGTGAGTGAGTAGGTGAGTGAGTAGGTTAGTGAGTTAGTTGGTGAGTGAGTGGGTGAGTGAGTTAGTGAGTGAGTAGGTGAGTGACTTGGTGAGTGACTTGGTGAGTTGGTGAGTGACTTGGTGAGTGACTTGATGAGTTGGTGAGTGAGTTGGTGAGTTGGTGAGTTGGTGAGTAAGTA